TACGTACATTCATATATATATATATATATGTATAACACAAATGTGACTGTCTCTGCGTGTGCGCACATGCATATGGTATATTCCGTTGTAGGTGGGTGGAATATTCTTTGTTATGCTTTGTTAAGCCATGAAATGCGGTGTTATGTTATGCTATGATCTGGCCCATGGCTATGTTATGTTACCATGGCTTATGCTGTGTCATGTTATGTCATGCGGCGTTCTCTCTGTCACGCCATGTGGTTTCGACATGTCACGTCCGGTGTCATGGTAGGTTGTTACAGTATGCCATGCTGTCTTGCTATGTCATGAGTTCTGTGCACTGTTCTGTGCTATGTGTCTATGAACGGGACTTCGTAAATACCACGAAAAGCAGGACTCCACGTCTCCCCAACTTGCAACTATTCTTGTCAGCACGTCCCTCCCTCTGCCCATGACCAGCAGGCCCACAGGCCCGCCACCGGCCCGCCAGACGGGCCCACCGAAAAGACCAGGGTCCTAGCGCTACTGTCTTTGCTAAACCTTTTCCATCTTCTACATGTCCCACATATAAGTGTGCCCTAGTCGCTGCGTCATTAGCCCTTGCTAGTCGCACATTTGGGCGGGTGGGGGGGGTGTACATGTAAGTTGTGTTCGACCCCTTTTTGCAAACAACCTGAGCTGCCCAGCTTAGCAATAGAGCGACGCGGAAGAGGCGGCATGTCAGCGGCTCTAGCTTCTCAACACTGCCTGAGCTTTGCACCAGCTCTTGGAGTGGCCCAAGTTGTCTTGGAAAGTGGCACCTCTGCCATCTGTGAAGGACACTGGAGGGTGTGGATGGTATCGCTTCAGTACTCGACTTGCAGTTGACAGTTGCCTCTTCCGAGACAGATGATGAGCATGGAAGCTGGACGGGGGCAGTCGAAGCCTGCCACCAGAAAATGTCACGAAGGCCGACCAGAATAGCGTGATTGCACATCCCGCCGTTCCGCCCGAGCCTGCATGGAACCTGCCAAAACAGGTGCTGAGCAAACCCTCCTGGCACCGCGGGCACGACTCGCATGACATGCAAATCTCCACAGACTTCACGCAGATATACGCAGATGCCAGCAGCCAGCCTTCTTTCTTAGAAGCCATCACAAGCATGGGAGGCTATGTTCAGAGACGTGATCGAGCTGCGCGACTCTTCGGCTCTGAACTGCCAGTTTGTCTCCCGGGAACGTCCATCACTCCAGTGGCTTCTCCGCTTCCCAGACTTCTTCTCTCTGTGACTACGTGAGACGCTGCATTTCGCGGCTCAAGCATGCCGACTGCTGATGCCAGCAAGTCAGGACAAGATGAGCTGCAAAATTGCTTCGATACGCTTTGGGGCTAGCGTCTCAGGCAAGGACAGCATCTCACCCGCATCCTCGAAGCCGATGGCCTTCATGAGTTCCTCTGCACAGCTATACCGCATGCGCCTTACACCCTGGCAAGGGCCCGACACTCTCCGTGGCTCGGGTCGTGTGGCTCGCACAAATTTGCGCAAAGACGTTAAAGCAACCACACCAGACATTACCATGCGCTGAAAAGGGCAAGGACAACCTGGTGACAACCTGATCATGAGAGCAACAGCCTCTTCGGGTGGGCTTTACGACGAAAGCCGGACCGAGTTGAGCTCTGTGTTTTTGCAGTTAAGTGTCCTCCCCTCCAGGCACCTGAAGGATTTTCTGCTGGATCGCCTGGCGCCACGACACGAAAGCGCACAGGCGCCCGCAAGGTCGTAGCTTCAGAGGCCTGGCGGCCTGGCCTTGTTCTCTCTCTTCACGTTGCGGAATTTGGGATTCCGAGGATCGGCCGCAACATTGGACAGCAACTTTCCTGACTTTGCCCCCGACTTCCAAACAGGGCAAGACAAAAGTCTACTTCCACGACAGGCGGCGCAAGGTCGACAGGCAAAGCCTGGCCTTCCAGGGGTCAGAAGCACAGCTCTGTCTGCTGGAGTGGCACCTGGACTTCCTCTCTGCCGCCTCCTCCGAATCGCCAAGAGCTCTCCGCAGTTCCAGGAGCTTTGAAGCAGGCGCCTGCAGTGGCTTTCGAAAAGCTCCCGTGACTTCGTGGTGCCCTAACCTGCATCGGGCCTCCGGAACCAATCGCTTCGATTCCACAGATTTTCGGCCCAAGGTTGCCACGGGCTGCCCAGAACTCCCAAACTCTCGCGTCCCTTGAGGTCCCGTGCTTTTTGATGTAAGGACAGGAGAACAACATTTGACGGATTCCACAGATTTCCACAGCTTGCCTCCGAGCCCGTCGAGGCTTCACCAGGCGTCCTCAGCTTCAGCTCAAGTTTACGTGCACTTTCGGGGAGGCTTTGGTTGTAGCTGAGCTTCGCCTCGCCAGCATGCTGCGGAACCGCAGCCCGGGAGCCCGTGACGCCAGAGCCCCAGTTTTGCGCTGCCCTGCTTCGCAAAGCTGTCCTGGGATCGCCGCAACGAAACTTCCGCTTGGTGCTTCGATTTGCAAGGCTCTGCATCCCAGAAGCTCTCGGCGGTCCGATGACAGTCTCGACAGCCACTCTCCCTTGCTCTCACGACAAGGATGCTGGTCCTATGGCACCAAGACTGGGAGGTGACATGTAGCTGTAGCTCCTTCAAGCAACCTACGCGTGGTCCTCGAAGCGGTGCTTCAAGCAGACCTGCTGATAGCACGAGAGCAGCACAGAATTGGTGTTTTGGCTTGTTGATGCCTGCCGCACCTTGGCCTTGCACTCCGGGCAGACCACCGAATTCATCGTGTTCAGCTTGGTCTTGCAGCCTTTGGCAGGGCAAGTCCTGAGTTCTTGGAAGCCATCGAAGTGATCCGAATCTTCAGGAACTTAATTTTAGTCCCGCAAATCAAACCGTAACAACGTCCAACTCCATCGGGCTAGAGAGATCGAAGCCTCTCTTTGGCTGTCTGTGGCAAGGGCTTGCACACCTCCGGGCAGTAAACCAAGCCAACCGCAATGAACTGCAAAAGAAACACACTGTTGGAGGCATGCTTGTGCTGTAATGTGCCTTCTCTTTGACCGAATCAAAACGTGCGCACATCGGACTACGTCCAGATACAGGCGGCCAGTGCAAGGCTTGATGAAGCTGCAGCATGACGGTTTTGGAGTAAACTGACTTGTGACAAGGGGAGCCGCAGCTTTATGCAGAAGCGGCAGCAGCTTGTCACTGCGAAGGAGCGGTCGCAGGCCTTCAGGTGTTCGGTCATCGCCTCCTGCTCGCTTGAAGCCGCGTCTTCCCACTTCACCGTGGTGCCACAGTGAAGGCATAGTGCAGCGACCATACCTCTGCTGAGACACAGCCTCTCAAACTTTGTACCTCTCTCAATCCCTTGCGATCTGCCTTGTGACTGCGTTGCTTGGCCACAGTCGTGCTTGGCCGAGGCCACGTGGTCTTGACAAAAGTTGCGTCTGCAATGAGGGCATGTGAAGGGAAGGAAGTCCCGAAGCCCGCAAGACTCCTTGGTTCTGAGCGAGGAAGCGACGAATCGCTCATGGAGGCTCCAATAAGGCCCAGGGGCCAAGGAGCAGCAGGCGCCCACCAAGTCGTATCCGTCTGCATCCCGGAAGTCAGTGCTGGCAGCCGGTTCTGCCTTGAACATCTCGCAAGCACCAGCATCAGCAAGCTGCCATCAAGCGGCGCGGACCCAACAGAGCAGAGGCCCGCATTTGGGCACCGAAGCGTATACAAGGCTCGATTGCTGAATCACGATGTCCGCTTGTGCTACTGCATGTTTGGCCTGTGCCTGGCGGCTCGGCGTGTTGCAAAACCATCATGGGCCCATGCCACAACGGTGCATGTGCTTGTGCCTTTCTTTGTCACGAGCAAGATGGGCTGAGGCATGGAGGGATGTTTCATGGGCATCTCATCATCGTCAGCCGACCGTTTGCAGCAGATGGCTCCACTCCGCAAGGAAATGCAAAGCAGTGCCGATATGTATCTCGCTGGAAAGAAACTTCATCAGGCCGGGCTTGCCGCAGCAAGTCGTCGGCCGAGGCTGAAGTTCCTCCGTTTTTCTGGGCTGGGGAGGAGATTGCATCCCAGTTCCATTTGGGCAGCTCTGCAAGGCACCTGCGTACTGCATCTGCGGCCTCGACCAATGACATGAGCAACGAACTGTCGTATAAGGCCGGGCCTATCCTATGCACACGCAAGAGTTGGCACTGCTTTTGTCATGGCTTTGGGCTCTGTACGACCTCTGCTCATGGCTGGAAGTCATGGTTTTGGGTTTCGAGTCCCAAAAACATGCCAGACACAGCCCTCGGCGCCCGAAGAGCGAATCCACCAAAGACTTCGGTCCTGGTAGGCTGTCGACGACTGTCGTAGAGTCGCAGCCGGCTCGGGTGCGTTTGGCCGCCCAAACCGGCCCGAAGCTGTGTACATGTGGCTGCAGCTCTGAATGAGTCACTTTGAGCCTCGTCGCCTAGTCACTCCTAGTCCTAGCAAGCCGCTCAAAGTCGCAAAGGACCATAAATCGCTGGTGTAGGCTCTGCTTCTGGAGCTGGCTGTGACAACCAACCTGAGTCAGCAGGAACATCAGGCTGCACGACTGCACTGCCGCACTCTCACTGGCGGAGGCGCCTGTGCCAACATCAACTCCCCAGTCATCTGGATAGAGGCTGTCCTGGGCTCATCGTCAGGCGTCCATTAGACCGCAGAAAGCCAGATACTCTGCCACCGAGCTTCTGCGGGCTCCGCTGAGGGAACAATTCCTGTCATGGCAAGGCCGGCCGGGCTCGGGCCGGTTGCGCGAGGCATGGCGACCTCTGCCGATTTGGCCTGACATCATGAACGGCCACGGACTCACGGCTCACCGCTATCTATGAGCCTACCTTGTGGCCCTTCAAGTGCACCACCCATGCCTCAGTCCACATGGCATATGGCAGGAGACATCGTCAAAGCATGAGATCGATCGCATGCATCCTACCTCCTCGCAGGCACGCGCAAACCGCGAAGTCTTGTTCGTGATCTTCTTGATGGCAATTCCTGCGCTGGACTCGTTCATCTGCATCTGTGCCATAACCATGAGGCAAGACGTGCTCTTGACAATTGAAAAAGACGATCCTGACGATCGGACCAGTTCACATATGGATTGGAGCTCGTCGCGAACGAACTGCTTCAGGAAGCGTTCGAAATCGGCTTCGACTTGCCACAGATCGAGCACCCTGTTGCAGGGCCGTTTTGGAAAGCAAATCTTACACCGCCGGTCTACCGCGGCGGAGTTCCCTGGCCACCATCGACTGCAGCCCAGTTTTTGAGTTCAATGGCCTCAGGACTCGTGGCTTCTTCGCAAGCTGCGGAATGCTCAGCTTCTTCTCCTCGGTGTGGTTTGTGACTGCGCCGCTCCGCGGAGTCCGATGGTATTGAATCGGGCGACACGAGTGGATCGAAGCTCCCGGACCAGGGCCTTCCCAAGTCCACACAGCTCTTCGTCTTCGTCGAAGCCTGAGGCTTCAAGGATCTTCATGGCGTGTACTGCGAGAGAGGTGTGAGGATGCGCCCACAGTTGCGGCACCTGAGTCCTGCACTCTCGGCATCCTGCCCCTCCTCATCAAACTCTGCTTGGCGACGCTGACTGTCTAGCTTGGCCCATTGCTCCATCCTGCACGCACACCAGCAATGAGAGCACTGTCATCCGTGCCATTCACAGCTCCTGCGCTTGACTCCGCGCTTCATGGTAGCGTCCACGACCATGGCCTGAAAACTCCGCGATGGAAGACGACTTGCTGTCCACATGCTGAGGGAGGCCACCCGAAAAGCCACGACTGTAGGTTCCCTTCGCAGGTGTCATGCCTCATCTTCTTGCAGTCCAGCGCGAGCCAGGCGCTTCACTCCACAGAGAGGTGTTGGACCTCCCCCCGAGTAGCCCATGTTGACCTCGGAATTTGGTGCTTGCTGGATTGAAAATGCGGCACTGAGCACCCGGCAAGCAACGCATAGCCGATGCCGTAGTTGGCCTCTTGCGGAGAGCGAGCAACAGGCAAAGAGGCGCACATCCCTCAACATCACGGCGGCCTGCAGTTGCTTCGCAGCCAACGGGGGCTGCTCTTCAAGGCGCAGAGCACGTCGATCAGTCTGGTTCTCAAGGGGCGCCTACGATTTCCAGGCATCAGAATAACCCTGTCGTGCGCTTGAGCTCACCTGCCTCCATGGATGGCACAAAGTCGATGCCTGCAAGCACCTCAAGTCTTTGAAAAGGCACTGTAGTAGTACTGTTCAACATGTTTCAAGCACCATGGATGTCTATACTTCTGGACAACCATTAGACATCAGAGGTGCCGCCTCATCTGCTTCAGTCGCCATGGTTGGGAGATGGACACAGTCGAAGTAAGCCTACATGTGCCTTGTACCCTGCAGTCTGTACTTGATGTTGCAGTTAGGCTCGGGCCCGGATCCCGGTGTGCACTAAACAGCGGTGTGACGTGGCCAATACTGAGGTGGGTGACTGTTCGGACTTGCTGCTGTACCGAATCACTGAACGAACTTGCTTACTTTTCAGATGTCTGTCACAGAATCGGGACACAGCTTTGGGCAGCAGCTGCAGTCAACATCTCAGCTGCTGCACAACCGCAGCGCAGAACAGCTGGGTCTAGCATGCTGAGCTCTAGAACAGGAGCTGTCGGCTGCGAACGCAAAAGCTGCATATCGCCGTCTCTACCACATGCCACAACACTAAAGTAGCAGCAGGCGGACCTGGTCTCGCTCCGCAGCGCAGACAGGGAGCTGGACTGGACAACGTTCCCTGGTCCGAAGCTCCGTGATACTCTCGCGGTGTCTTGAAGTTCGGAGCTCGAGGATCTCGTTTATGACAAACTGACAAAGGACTCGAGACCCATCGTCATTGTTATGAGGCCCTTGCGCTTGGCAGAGCATCGCCGACTGCACTTCGGATGAAGACCCGCCACGCTAATACTTCCGACTGTTAGTGTAAGTCTCGACCTCAACATCCCCAACACCACCCGAAGCCTTCACACAGCCACAAACCCAGGATATGTTAAAATTGCATGCCCGAAACCTGAATACTGAAGCCCCGCCCTACATCAACAACTCCTTATTTTTCAATCCGAACAACCTATGCCCTCAACCCTTCTCATGCTTCATTTCATTGCATTATAAAAAGGCAAAAAAACTAATTATGAACGAAACCAACCATGCACCATGTTCACCTCTTTCACTTAGTTGTACCCGTAGCCTAGAGGTGGCTTTGTGGAGAATCTTCGTTGAGGACCCAGAACACTCGTCTCACAAGGGTGATATGAAGGGAAAAGTCACAATGAACCAAACAAGAAAATAAACGTAAGAAACGGGCGGCGTTTTCCTGTATTTCGTTCATTCACCCTTTTTCACCATTCCTTCGTTTGTAAAGTGAGTGTAATTGCAAAAGAACTCATTTGGTTCACATTCCGTTCTTAATGCTTCGCTGAACCTCCTAATCCAAGTTCAAAAGAACCACAAGACATCCCTAAAGCAAATAACTTGAAATAAAACACAAAAATAAAGACCATGCATAGACTCAAAACCCTTTAAACCGTAAAACCCTGCACCCGCTAAACGCTAAGCCCTAAACCCTGATCCCAATCCCTAAACTCTCAACCCTAAAGCCCTGAGCACTCTGCTCCATGGTTGTATGACTGACCAACCCTTCATCATCCTGAAAGAACAAACTGGCGGGTGCGGCCTGAGTCGATGTCTCCCTGTCATCGAAGCCGTGCAAGGCCGCAGCTCAGACTCGAACGTGGTGGCGTGCAGTCTGAAGTGCGGCTGAAGCGCGAGCATCCATGGAGTCGAGCTGTGAAGAGACTCGCTTGACGCGGGCGTCTCGGTGACCTCGTCTACCCAAAGACGAGGTTCAATCCCTGCTTATTCAGAAACTTCTGGCAAGCCAACATCCGCAGCCGAAGCACGCTCAAGTCCTCTGGCAAAGGGTCTGCTCCGGTCAGTTCTCTAAGCTCCTGGAGCGACAGGATCACTTCGATCTCAGGATGTCCAATCACATCCACCTGACCTCGAACCTCTGCTGCCAGAAGGTCGCATCTCGCAAGGACCTTACCCAAAGACAGGCCATCGCCCGAATGCATCTGGAGGTGGAACTAAGCCAGTGGCGACATAGAGAAGCTGCGCTTCTGTCTCTCCACTGCGCTCTGCGAGTGCCACAGGCCTGTCGTGCTGAAGCCTCAGATCGGTGTCGGCTACTGCAACAGCCGCTCAGTTCAAATGCCGAAAACACAAGAACACAAGCCGAAGGGGAGGTCTGAAAAGCCTTGAAAACACCGGTCTGAAACATCGGTCCGCCAGTTGCTGCGACTGCTAGGATACCACCCAAGAAATGTCATGGTCATCTGTACGTTAAGCCATCGACCCGGGCGTGGACGCATGGCGCTCTTGCCACCGCTAAGCCTCTGAAACGAGATGAAGGTTATTCTTTGGGTGTCTTTCCTCTCACTCTGGCGGACCGCTCTCATCGGAATCGTCATCGGAGTTTCATCTCTCAACCCTCTCAGCTGGCCTTTCCGCTAGATCGAGGCAGGTGAGGTTTAGACCTCGGATCCCACTGTCGCCAATAAGGAAACGAGCTCCATGGGAGGCCGTTGATGCAAAATGGAAAGGGTCCGCGACCAAGCAGGTCAGTTTCGTCTAGGGCAGCTTGCTTGGGTGAGTGTTCGCTACTTGGAGAACTGAGGCCCTGGCGACTGCACTGCAACTCAAAGAACTGACACTCTTCGAGCCGGCTCTCGTACTCCTGCAGGCAAACCCATCACCGCTACACAGCGAAAAACCCTACAAGCTTGATGAGAGCCTCTCTCAAGCGCTGGAACTCATCGAAGGCATCGCCGTAGGCAGCACTGATCAAGTCCACCTGGGAAGCCGAGGACCAAAAGAGACACCGATTCGGGTCTCGGAGGTGTCGGAGGTCGCGCCGGGACTCCGAGCGGTGCCCTGCAGTTGCTGTATGCGCTGCACGGCCTGGCAGGTCAGACACGGTGATCTCAGAGGACTTGAGGGCCGCAAGAAGCCATGCGCGAATCTTCAAAAGGCTCGAAAGTTGCAGCTTGAGACTGGTCTAATGCGCGGGCGAATCTGAAAGTTGTGGGCACATCGAATGCATGACAGGCATCGTTCGCAGAGGCCTTCTAACTAGGCAAGCTCAGAAAATAATAGTATTCGGAGCAAGTAGCAAGATGGCACAAGATTAACGGGCGGACGGGACTGCAAGGGTGGCAGTAGTATGCCGCAGCAAAGAATAGAGAACTGCTTGGTTGAAGGCCTGTGGAGCTTTGTCGTAGATGCACTGCGCTCCTTCTCACAGTGAACTGATGTGTCAAGAATTTTTTGTACCTGTGAGGCCGAAGCCGAGGAAAGGCATACACGCAGCGTCCCCAAAGCCATGCAGGAATGTTGCAGAATGCAACCACTTATGTTTGTTGACGAGGCACATCCCGTTCTGAAATATTTGAGATCGCGAGACCCCATATGCCAAACCCATGGCTCTTGCAGAAAAAGGCTGTTCTTACATGACATACGTCTCCACATTTTGCTGTGGCTGCCGCACATGAGCAAATTGGTTTCCACGGCGAAGCATTGCAAGCACTGTGACGACAAGTGGTGACCGTGAAAAATGTCAGAGAGCACACTGCGAAACTAACTAAGTACGCCGAAGCAGGGCAGGTCGAGAAGCAAGTGTGCAAAGCTACAGCTCAAAAGCTTTCAGGTGACGACACGGGCCTGCTTAAAGCGCTCTTCGTCGTCACATGGCGCCGTCCCAACCTGCTGCAGCAGCATCTCAAGGTCCCGATACACACTTCGAGGTCTACACTGAACTTGCAATTCAGGGGCGAAAGGACCGAAGGTGCTCAAATTCTCTCTTTCCATCTCTGGAAGGCACCTGCTCCGGAGGCCCGAATCCTCGCACAGACAAGCACTTCTGCCCGGCCCGCATCAGGAGCACCTAATCTGCCACCCTTTCCTCGCTCTGGAGAGCGACCATCATCCACCTGCAGTTCTCCGCGAGACTTGCAATGGCAGATCTTCGCGGTCACGACTACCAAAAAACCGGCGCTTCAAGATGCAACTGTTGGGGTGTTTGGAGCTGTGGCCCGTCTCTCTTCGAATGCGAGATGTCAAAGGCATGCGAATGCATTCCTCCTCATCCCCTAAGCTTCGAAGCCTCTACCGTAGAACATGCTTTAGACCTCTTCTTGAGCCTCTACTAGTTGGGGGCTAAGGCTTCCAAAGTTTGCTCGCGATTACATCTAGCCAAGGGCTGAAGCTGTACTGCAGATGGTTTGGCTGTGTAGGTGTTTGCACGTTTCATGGTGCTTTTCGGGGCTTAGGCCTTAGGCGCTTTTAGGTTGACCCGCCCTGTACCGCATTACTGTGTCACTCACTGACAGATTCTTAGAGCTCGCTCAAGGCTTTCTGCTTTGCTTCCGATCCTCCTTCGCACCGCGCCGCCCTGCAGCACCGGCCGCGGTGACGGCCGGTAACCGGGCGCAGCCGGGCCCCTGAAGGAGTCCTTGAGCCTCCAACGAGACGCAAATCTCTTGACATCACAGCGTCTCTTGCATTGTTCCCATCCGAGTCAACGCAAAGTGTGGAAGAACACAAGTACGCCACTACCGAGAAACAGGACCAAGTAGGGGAGACCAGATGATCAAACGCCACACTCGAGAAATTATACCTAATCTTGTTGGCACATCCGCCAAGTTTTGCCACTACGCCACTACTGAGAAACCGGATCAAAACTTTGGCATTTGCGTCCGTTTACACAGTACTACTTGGGCGTTGCATCGGTGCCATGAGCCGGCACGCCGATAAAAAGCGCATGCTTTGTGCAGCATTTGGAGCTGAAGGTGCACGGTGTGTGGTGGGGTTTCGGGGGTTGGGGCTTCCACACGGCTTCCAAGATGGAGTGGATCGTGCTAGAGGCATTGGCTTCAGAGTGGTCTTGTCTGTGCGTTTGGGTTGGTGTGTGTCTATGCACGTGGGTCGCAGGGTAACCAAACCCACCACCACCACCACCACCACCAACACCACCACCACCACCACCACCACCGCTCTCCACCCCCTGCTCCTACTTCATTTCTACTTCTACTCCGACTCCGACTACGACTAAGACTACTACTACTACTACTACTACTACTACTGCTGCTACTACTACTGCTACTACTACTACTACTACTACTGCTGCTACTACTACTACTACTACTACTGCTACTGCTACTATCACCACTACAACAACTACCAGGCCCCTGCCCGCTGCTGTCACCCCATGAACCGTTTGACCTCTGGGTGCCCTGTTAGGCGGGTTTTCCCATAAAACAATGGTTTCCTATTGGACAATGGTTGTGTTACTTTGACACTGGCACTGATCTTCTATTGGATGGGGTTTGCTGTTAGACAGGGTTTTCCTATTGGAGAGGGTGCTCCTTGATGACAGTGGTTTTCCGATTAGATGGGGCTTAGCTATTGGACAAGGGTTTTCTCATTCACAGTGGCTCAGGGAGTCCTCTCGAAGAGCCCTCATGGCTTTGGATTAACTGGCCTGGCCTCAAGTTTTGGCATGGCAGAATCTCTAGCAGCAGTAGTAGCAGTGGCAAGTACAGCAGTCGTCGGTCTAGTCGCATGTGCAAGCAGTGCGAGGCTCGGTCCTGCTTCAGGGCCTCTTGGGTGGCAATGTCCAGCTCAACGACCTGAGCGCCACTTCGACTACGCTCCTGGAAAAGAGACTGAATCCAGTAAGCCGCCTTTGCCTGTACTGAACTGCTGCACTGCACTAGGGCGAGAACCGAAGAAACAGGAACTGCACCGGAAGCTTCCTCTGCTCAACATGTGAACCAAGAGCAGGTGGCATAAGCTGGGAAGTGTCAACCTGCTCTGTGTTTTTGACCTCGGCCCATTCTTCAGGCCGCTTGAAGGATGAGTGTTCATGTCAACATCCTACAAACAAAAACCTACACGTCTGACACACCTATTCATGCACAAGCGTCCTTTGCTGCACCGGGCCTTCTATTTCTTAATACTTCCATAGATGCTGGTAAGATATGCAACCCGCTGTTCCCCACGAGTCAGCGCTGCTGGCTACAGCAGGACGGGCAAAACAACAGAAGGCAACTGTGCATAACGTATGCCACTGTAACATTCAACACTATCGGAGTTGTCTGCTGGTTCCCACACAGCAGTCGCACAGACTGCTTCTGCAGCACGTGTCCTCATTCCTACTTTCTTGCCCCTTCTGAGTCTCTGTGTTACAATGTTGCTGCCATGGCCGGGTGATTCGCACTGCCCCTACAGTGAAAGGCTGCTCCCGAGCCTCCAACGCCGCTCTGAGTGCTACCCCTAGTCTATGTCGGCTCTTGGTCCGTGGCGGGTCTGGTGAAGAAGCTTCGGATTCTTGGCACGTCCGCTGCCCTCTTCAAACTGCAGATGTTGAACGAATACGAAGCACACCAACATTTTGGTGGTGGGTGCCGAGTTTTTTTAGGAGAGACGGCGCTGTAGATGCGATGTACCTGCTTTTAATTTAGCCGAAGAACAAGCACTGGAATACTATGTGTATATATATATATACTGATGCCAAAATGCCAAAGCGAAGCCGAACAGTGCACATCGGCCTCAGGCCTGAAACCCCGAAACCCTACCAGAACACATAGAATATCATAGAATCCTACATTGACCCCTACCCAGCCCACAGCAGAAGCATTTCCAGTCCTTCGCAGGCTGGCTCGTCAAGCTCTGCCTCCCCACATGCCCCGGATTCCCAATGTGCAACATGAAAATGAAGATCCAGAAGCTGAGGTGCCAGCACCATGCTGCTCACTCCCTCGCAAGGTGTGAGGTTTGAGTGACTTGCATTGGATGGCACACAGAACTTCACGGGAAGCTCGGCCTGGCTTGCGCCGCCTCAGCCGATAGGATTCCCGAACGCCGGCAATCCTAAACCTTATAGGGCGGCGGCTGGGGTCTCTCTGCGTCCGCTCGATTGCACGCGAGAGGCTCTCCTGGCGTTGCTTCGGATGGCAGAAACCCTTCGCAGCTCGCTCTCTCCGCTCGCTCTAGTCCTTGGCCCGCATGAGCTCCTCGACTTCCTCTCAGAGCCATGTGCAGAACGCATTGACATTTCAGCCGACTTCAGCTGCTCGGTCTCTCCTTCGCCATCTTCTGGAAGTAGAACCAGGTCTTGCTCCTAATAGGTGCAGAACAACACAGACCCGCCCTGCACCACGCCGCCCCCAAGACAGGCTGGCGTACGAGCTCTCGTCGTCTGCTTCGACACTGGCCAGAACCTGCTGAACGGCGAGCAAGGGACTCCAAAGTGGCTTCCCACACATCCGCAACCTCCGAGCTGATGGAAGGTGGCGAAGGCAGGGCCTAGGGAAAGGCCCCTGCTCTCAGCAGCTCCCCCCTCCATCCTGCCGACTGCCGAGCTACTCTTTCGCCATCTCCCAAGCCTCCCAAAAGCCAGAATGTGATGGAGACAGGAAGTGGCTCAGTTGCGCTGTGAAGCGCCTGCAGGCGACACTGGCCTCAAAAACCGGGCCAATGCTGACTTACGCCGAGTTCTTGCGGCTTGTGATGCATGGATAGGCTGCGAGACTTTAGCATTTCTTCAAGACTGGAGCACGATGGAAGCTTCACACTGTGGCTGGAACTGTCCGGGAACCCGTGGCCAACCTCGCACGCAGCAGCAAAAGCCGGATGCTCGTGCGAAATGGTGCCAGCGCCTGTTGGATCCAACGCTCGCAGTTCTTCCCCTGTGGCACATGCAAGGCAACCTGCTCTGTGATGAGACCTGCGGTGACAGCATTGGGACTCCAGCGCAGAGCCCAGTTCTCTGCGATCATGCGCTGCACCTGGGTGGCAGACTGCACACATCATAGAGTTGAGCAGGTCAGGTATCCAATGCATCCCTATCCCGTCGCCAGGGGCCTGGCCTCTGGATGATTCTCCAATTGCCTGCCGAGGCCGCGGCCGAAGATCCCAAAAACGTAAGCGTTAAGCCCTAAGCCTGAGCTGGCCCGAGGAGTGCTAGATAAACCTATTTTTGCGGAAATGGCGCCTTCTGAGCATGCGATTCTCTTCTCGAATGAACTTCGCTTCATCGCCCGAGATGGCAGCCTGGTCCTGGCGGACATGGTTCACATGCTTTCTCTCAGTAGCACCGCGTGGACCCCTCGCTGGAACCGCTAGAATGCTAGAAACAACGAGTTCCAAGCACGTTGGATTCGAGAATTCGCCGCGAATATGGCATCCACCCACCTCGATGCTGTCCATCGGCCTTGGCCACGAACTGAGCTGCAGCACATCATAGCCACGTTGCTTCTGATTCTGACAGCATCGCGAGTCTTTTTCTGGAAAACCGCACCAAGCGGAGTAGAAGGCAAGCTTAGCTAACCAGATTGGATGTGCACTAACGTTGATGGAGGTGGGGCAGCACCCCGGGAAGGCTACGGGTCCAGCCGACCATATCCGAAAGGTCTTGGGCAAATTGAAGGGAAGCTTTCGCTCCATCGCAATCAAGGTCAGCTCCAGGAATGTCAGACCTGACAAAAACGCCAACCAGGACCTTCGTGTTCTTGTCCTCTCGAACCTCGGCTCGCGAATGGTCTCATCCGTTGCTTGCAAAGCATTCAGACAAATCTTCTGTACTGGTGCCCGATCAATGGAATTTCGAATCCCATAGTTCTGCCGACAGACAGAAAGCCGTCGGATGTACTCCAGCATCGTCACTAGCATGATGCCATCCTCGCACATGCAGGCTACTCGAACTCTTTCCTTCCTTTCCACCCTGTAGTACAAAGCACCATTCAGTCCTGACCATGTGATAGCTGTTCCGCATAGCCTCAGCGATAGCAATGTAGGTTTCGCGAACGAAGTGTCAACCGAACCCAAGCGCTTGGCTCTCTTCAGCATCTATCGGCTTTAGGAACTTGAAGATGTCATAGCCCTAACAATGACAAGGAGAACATGCGACAGTTGTCGAAAATGCGCGAACCACAGGGCAGATCAAAGGGAGCAATGTCCAGGGCCCACCGTCTCGCTGATCTTGCTGCCCTCGGAGTAATCAACGATTTGGTTGTCCTTGCCCTTCACCTTCCGGAATGCTGTAACAATTCCGTGGCCCACGAGATCCGAAATTTAACTCGCCTTGAGTTCTTCAGGAGGCCACAGATTGAGTATGGTGCCGGGTGCCGACAACTGGCTTTTCTTTGCCCAATACCCAAGGTAGCCTGGCAGGATGGGACAGAAACCTTTAGAGCCATGCGCCACTGCTGTGTTCGTCTGCCGAGAGATGCCGAGAGCCTTTCATGTCGTTCAAGGCTTCGTTGATGAAGAAAGCTTCTTCCACGATTGGCCCAATAGCTGATGTGAAGTAGGTTAGATGGCGAATGAACTCTTCGTTGTTCTCCCTCAGAGCGACATTCGCACAGACGGCTTCCATTTTGCAAGCTCGTCTAAAGCCCTAGTGGTCCTAGTAAAGCTGTCAGACGGGGCACTTGGCGAGCTGCGCGGGAATGACTTCCTTCATTTTTTCGAAGAACATCTTGCGCGCCTTTTTCCAATTCTTCACCTTCTCATGATGGAAAAGCTTGCATTCCTCCACCTGACCTCAACAGTCAAAAGCGAATAAGCTCCTGGCGTAGTCACTGTCCTTCCACTTCCCCTTGTTGGGGCCGCCCGAGACTATGATCAATGTCTTGGGGATTTCGGTATCGATTTTTCCCTTGTACGCGCCCTTCGCCAGGTCACTGTACCTAGGTTGAACTGAAACTGCCCCCAGTCTTCTCCGAACAGGCCTGAACATATGGACCTTTTGGATGTTAGACATCACACCGGCCTTGACACAGTGCCTCGCTGCTTGCCAAGTTGCGAAGTTTTGCTGACCTTTGAACCTCGGTGCTTAACTCAACTGGCGCAGGATCTGCCGCAAAAGCAGCACGACAGCATGCTGATTGTGGCCTCGCTAGGGTTTAGGGGGTGCCTGGCTGGAAGGCCTTCGCTTTCAGCTTGTGACCATTTTTTTGCAGAGGCGCCAAGAAGCACGAAGTCCATCACACCAACACCTTTAAAATCCCTGGACCACAGTCGTTCTGCCCAGGTCATGTCAATGTCGTCTTTGCCTTGGCTAGCATCCATGAAACGAAACGACAAGATCTCATCTTCAGCACGCCGCACAAGCATGCAGCACTGATGGTCGGAATGGTAGCAAATTAACATCGAAGAGGCTGAACGGATTTGTCTCCATGCGCTTCTCGCTAATGCCCTCTACCGGTCCTGTTTGCAGATGCATCAGCATGCAAGTGTGCCAGACCAGGCAACAGAAGCGGTCAAAGCCAATTGCACACAAGCTCCAAGTCGCAATAGCCACGACGTCAGGTCCGTGAGTCGACGACTTCTGAAATTCTGAGCAAACCGTGTCCTGCTGCATACGCTGCCAGAACTTCTTCTCTGGTGAAGGTGGCGCCCTTTTTCTGCTCAATGTTCCTCATTGACACGCATTGCTTGCGCACCGACAGACATGCTCACCCGTGGGCACAGATGGGAGACGGACCCCCTGCCCCCTGCCAGTCACAGACCGAAGGAATACAATGCAGCGATGCAGCGGTTGCCGGGTACGCAGACTTGTAATGGTGAACAGATAGCGGAACTTTGTCTGTAATTTTCGCCTCTATGTTAGTTCTCCTGAAAAAATTGGGGATCAGTTATTCATCTCTTGCATTGAGGCAGGAGCTCGCTCACATGTTTGTCATTGAAGGGTAGCAAAGATCTACGGCATTTTCTCCTCTTGAAGTCTACGCAGGAAAACTTCTGTCAATAAGATGAGGTGATAGCATGCTCGTCTCATTGTTCGAGAAACACCGGAGTGGAGTGTATGCGTATGTCAGAGATGGAACTGTGCCCCACAAATTTTGGCCGCAATTTCCAGCCCGTACACAACATCGTGCGCTGTTGAATGAATAGACGCAAAGCTTGCGATAGAGCATTTATCTCCTCTCTATTCCGAAACATGGGACTAACTGTGACTAACTGTTGTATACATAGTTTTTATATATCTATCAGGACATGAGTTCTCGAAGTTTCAATGGAAAGGTTATGTTGATTGTGACTGTGCAGCAGAATGGAAGGCTTCTCCAATTTTCATTGATGGAAACCGGGGCTCTCTTGTCTTTTGGCGGCTTGGAGTGGCACGCCGTCCTGGCAGAGCACTCTCAGAGCGACACAAAGCAACACTGCGAAAAAAAGAACGTGAAGCCACCATTCCTTTGCAGTGAAAGATTCTCCTACAAGGTTATTTGCGTTGCCCCCCGGTCTTCTTGTGCTTCATGTGCATCCACTGGAGGATCAAGCAGGCCACCCCGTCCCATTCGTTCACTCTTGGTAAATGTTCTGTGTTCTCATGTTCTAATCTTCCATTGATTTACCGTCGCTACATTCACTTCAAAAAGCAGGAGTCATGGCCCAACAAAGTCTCAAGCTGGAGAAGCAGACTCGCTGCTCGTGAACGCCTTGCCTTTTTGTGTGGTTGCTATCGTTCCTTCAGCTTGTTGTCTTGAGCTCATATTCTCTCATATGACAAAATGGAAGGACTAGCTAGCACTTCCAAACCCGCCACCACCCCAAGACACCGCCGGGGTTCGTAGCAGCTAAGCAGTAGCTTTAGCTAACGACCCAACCGTTCGTGCGGACACTCACTTCTTTTTGGCAGCGTGACGCAGGTCCCCTGTCGCCCGGAGAAAGTCTGTAGCCTCCGACTAGCTGATTTCCAGGGTGGGATGGGTGGGCACTTCAGATTTGCTCCCCACTAGCAGTGGGGCTCTTCTGCACACAGTGGCCACGGACATAGCATGTTCACGGTCGGCCATGTGCGCGTCAATAGCTCGAATGCTTCGAACTAGCGGAAACATCTGCGATGTGTTCCTAGCAAACACCTTCGATGTTTTACTAGCCGAAACGCCTTCGACGTTTCACCTATCGGAAGTATAGCGCTAGCATACAGTGTCGTACCTCGTACCTCGGCAGGAGTGCGTACACTATAGCTAGCACTTCCAAACCCGCCACCACCCACAGACACTGCCGGGGGTTCGTAGCAGCCAAGCAGTAGCCTTAGCTAACGACGCCTAGCTTACATGTATTAATACTAGCAGTACTTAGAACTGGGGATGCCATGGCTCTTAGTTTAAGGGACTGGAATGGGATCCCACAGCTACATCTGGATGAACTAACCTGTTGATAAAGCCACCCGTCGTGTTTTCATAAGGCCAATTCTTGGGTTGCAGTTGTTGGAAGTATCCGGTACAGGGAAGCTCTCATGGGTAATACGGAGTTGGCGAGCAAAGTCCATCTTGGGGGACTGCGATATCCTTACTATCAGGGGGCCAATCAGGCTGATGTATGATGGCAGGGTTAGTCTTCGGGATATTGTTGTTTAGGAATTGAAGTCAGTCAGTGCTCACGGTCAGTCATACGTAGTGCTGGGGCTTTGATGTGAGACTACAGCGAAGGCTATCTTGGGAGTTAATATTCTATAGTGAGCTTCGGATATTCAGATAGATTCTCGCCGATATATATATGCTATCCTCTAGTTCAAAACCTAGCATTAAGCCGGGATCATACGCCAGAAATCTAAACCTAGGAGGTTTAGTGGAGCTATCGTAGCACCGCATGATAGTTCTTGGGGGAGTAACAAATAATTCTATTTTATTCAATATATTTTAAATATCTTTAATTTTTTGTATTCTAATTATATATATAATAATTTCTTATATTTTATATATCTAAAGATCCATTATTCTATTTTTCAGAAAAAATATTTTGAAATCAAACTCTATAAATAGTATATAGATATATATAGATATAATAGCCTCGCCTCGAATTATCCGCAAATTAAAATATAAATCCTACCGAATATAAATCTAACCCTTGCCCCTTTATTTAAAAGATTCCTTTATAAAAAAATATCTATATATTCTAAATTCCAGAAAGTGCATAATAATACGAATATTATTTTCTAATAATTGAAACATATTTTCTTTTTGAAATCTTTTTCGCGCAAAATATAAATCTTATTAAATTCAAGAAATTCTTATTAAATTCAATAGCATTATCGACTTTAAAATTAAAGATATCCTAAAAAGATTTTTTGAAATATCTTCAATTCAGTATCCCTATTTTCTAAATATTCTATAAGTTTTCTATATAATATATATATATATATAAAATATAGAGATTATCATATATAAGCGATCAATTATAATATATTCAATAAGATATTCCAGA